ATAGGGTTATCGTTACCATCTTTCTAAATTCCATATATATGTGTTAGTATACTGTAATGGTCTTTATCTTTCTGGCTTACTTCACTCTGTATAATGGGCTCCAGTTTCATCCATCTCATTAGAACTGATTCAAGATGCCCATCAGCAGACGAATGGATGAGGAAGCTGTGGTACATATACACCATGGAATATGTCTCTGCTTTTTAATATGCTGCCTAGGTTGGAAGAAAAGCTATGACAAACCTTGACAGCATATTAAATAGCAGAGATAATACTTTGCCGATAAAGGTCCATATAATCAAAGAAACCTATGGTTTTTCCAGTAGTCATGTATGGGTGTGAGAGTTGGACCATAAAGAAAGCTGAGTGCTTTAGAATTGATGCTTTTGAACTATGGTGTTGGAGAAAACTCTTGAGAGTCCCTTGGACTGCAAGGATATCAAACCAGTCAGTCCTTAAGGAGATCAGTCCTGAATGTTCATTGGAAGGACTGATGCTGAAGCTGAAGCTCCAATACTTTGGCCACCTGATGCAAAGAACTGACTCCCTGGAAAAGACCCTGAATGCTGGGAAAGACTGAAGGTGGGAGGAGAAGGGGATGACAGAGGATGAGATGGTTGAATGGCATCACTGACTCAATGGACATGAGTTTGCGCAAGCTTTGAGAGTTGGTGATGGACAGGGAGGCCTAGTGTGCTGCAGTCCATGGTCACAAAGAGTCAGACATGACTGAATGAACTTACCGAAGTTATAACAGTGGAATTTTTAGTGAATAATGTGATTTAAATTATTCATTTCAACTCCAGTTCTGGTCTACTCTAGCCCAACATGGTTTTATAAAATAAAAAATATGCTTTACGTATCATGAAATTGGGTTCTTGTATCCCATGTCTTCATATTTTTAATATACTCCTTTATTTCAGTAGAAATCATTCTCTAATCACTTCTTGAGAATGGCTGAATTAGAGGTAGATTGAATCCTTGTATATTAGAAAATCTCTTTATTCTCATTTCCTGTTTGAGTGATTATCAGGCTGCACATAGAATGTAATGTGCATTAATTCCAAAGTGTCTGAACATAGGAAGATTTTTCATGGGCATCCTATTGTCTAATAGGGCTCTGTGAAATATACTTTGAGAAAATTTTTCAGTTAAGATTTTGCTGCTGTAACTTGATGAGACCGTTCATTTACCTGATGGGTAGCTTAGTAAAGGTGTATTTGTTTCCATTTATGCTTATGCATATACTTCACCACCATAAAATTCTTTCACTCAGATAACCCTGTTCATAGTAGATCATTAATATTGTATTAATATTGTAGTATCATTAATATTTATAGGAGGTCATTAATATTGTTTGCACTGTGATGAGTTATTATGTTATTTGTATCCTAAACCTAAGTCCTGCTCCCTTATGGTTACTTATCCTACACATTGGTCATAATGGATGCTTGGCATTGTGTTGTGTGATTTGAGTGCATTATTAGATACTATGAGTCATTTATAAATTTGAAAACTGGAGCTCAGAGACCTCAACTGACTTGCTTAAAGTCACACAGCTGATAAATTGTAGCAGTGGGATTTGACCCCAGGCAGTGAGGAGGACATGACAACCCACTCCAGTAATCTTGCTGGGAAAATCCCATGGAGAGAGGAGCCTGGCAGGCTATAGTCCATGGGGTCACACAGAGTTGGACACGATTGAGCAACTGAGCACTGAGCGCACAATGTTACTGTAGAACCTACAGCACTGTGCTGTATAGCAAAAACAGCTGGCCTATGTAAACTTCCCAGAGTTAAGTCACTGTCATCACCGGAGTTCTATGTGACTAGTAAGACTCACCACTCTTATGTATGTTAATTACATTTCTCCATTTTTATGCCAATATATATTCATTTAAAATCACAGCCCTTTCTTGTGGTCACAAAGAGATATGCCACAACAGCAGCAATGCAAAAACCACTTTTACTATCATTGTTGGACTACTGTTACGTGTGTCTGCCATTTAACATAACAACTGGCAATATAATGGTACTAAGTAGTACTTTTTTTTTCATTTTTCTGGGAATGGAAGAGAATCTCTAGCACAGATCTTGCTTGTGACTTGAGTTATGAGTAATCAGAGTCTTATTCTTCCTCATCTCCAGGTCTGTGGGTTCTGGGGTGCCACAACTCAGACTTTCGGAACAGAGGCATGACAGCCTTACTGAAGGTTGATAGTTGTGACAGGAACGTTGGTGATTATTATGACACATATGAAGATATTCCAGCCTTTTTGCTGAGTGAAAACAATGTCATTGAACCCAGAAGCTTCTCCCAGAATTCAAGGTACCCTGGCACTAGGCAAAAGCAATTCAAACCCACCACGACTCCAGAAAATGATGTAGAGAAGATTGACCCTCAGTCTGGAGAGAAAATGCAGCTGCTTAAAGAACAAAGTGTCTCCTCTAGTGATTTGTTGATGCTCTTGGGACAGAATCCTACTCCACACAGATTATCCTTATCTGATCTCCAAGAAGCCAGAAATGAGGCTACCGATCATTTACCTGAACCAACAGAAAGAAACAAGGGCCCATCCCCATCTGAAGTGGCACATCTCGGACCAGAGCTCCATCACAGTGGGGAAAGAGTATTTACTCAAGAGCCAGAACTGCCACTAAGATTAAATGAGAATTTGGGAACAACTATAATGGCAAAGTTGAACAAACTTAATTTAAAAATTTCAAGTTCATCAAACAATCTAATGCCTTTACCAACAATTCCATCAGACAAGTTGTCAGCAGGTACTGAAAAGACAGGTTCCTTCGGACCCCCAAATATGCCAGTTAATTTTAATAGTCAATTAGGTGCCATTGTATTTGGCAAAAGTTTATCTCATGTTATTGGGTCACGTGTACCTTTGGGCTTGAGTAAAGAAGATAATGATTCCAAGTTGTTAGAATCAGCTTTAATGAATAGTCAAGAAAGTTCACTGGGAGAAAATGTATTATCAATGGAGAGTGATAGGCTATTTAAAGAGGAAAGAGTTCATGGACCTGCGTCATTGACCAAAGATGATGCTTTATTTAAAGTTAATATCTCTTTGGTAAAGACAGACAAGGCACCAGCTAACTCAACAACTAATAGAAAGACTCACATTGATGACCCAACAGTATTAATTGAGAATAGTACATCAGTCTGGCAAGATATTGTTATAGACAGTAATACCAACTTTCAAGAAGTGACTTCTTTGATTCATGATGAATTGTTTATAGACAAAAATACTACATCTTTTGGACTAAGCCATGTGTCAAATAAAACTACTTCATCCAAAAAAAGGGAAATGATCCACCAAGAAAAGGAAGGCCCTGGGCCACTAGATACAGAATATCCAGATACACCATTCTTCAAGACTCTGTTTTTGCCAGATTCAACAAATGTGATAAAAAGGACCCATGGCAAGAACTCCCTAAGCTCTGGGCAAAGGCCCAGTCCAAAGCAATTAACATCATCAGTATCAGAAAACTCTGTGAAAGATCAGAATGTCTTATCAGAAAAGAATAAGGCAGTAGCAGAAGATTATGAATTTAGCAAGGACACCGGCCTCGAAGAGATGATTTTTCCAAATAGCAAAAACATAGTTCTTACTAACTTGGCTAATGTTCAAGAAAATGATACAGACAATCAAGAAAAAAAATCCCAGGAAGAGACAGAAAGGAAAGAAACATTAATCCCTGAGAATGCAGTTTTGCCTCAGGTGTATACAGTGATTGGAACTAAGAATTTCCTGAAGAACCTCTTTTCACTAAGCACTAAGCAAAATGTCGGAGGTTTAGATGAAGAGACATATACTCCGGTACTTCAAGACAACAGGTCATTAAATGATTCAGCAAAAAGAGCCGGGATTCACACAGCCCATTTCTCAAAACGAAAGGTGGAAACAAATGTGGAAGTCTTAGGGAATCAAACAAAGCAAATGGTAGAGAAATCTCCAAGCACTACAAGACTGTCTCCTATCCCAAGTCAGCAGGATGCAGTTCCTCACCGTGATAAGCGGGGTTTGAAACAATCCAGACTCCCACGAGAAGAAGTAAAGCTTGAAAGGGGGGTAACTCTGAATGACACGTCAACTCAGTGGTCCAAAAGCATGAAACGTTTGACCCAGGGCACCTTCACACAGATAGAACACAACAAGATGGAGAAAAGGACCATTACTCAGTCCTTCTTACCAGATTGTTCTCTGAGGAGTCATAGGTCAATTAGACCTACAGATGTGATCAAGATCCCACCCCAAGATAACTCTTCTCATCCTCCAGCATCAACCTATGATTGTAACTTGGGGGCAAGTCATTCTGGGATCCAAGAAACCAGTCATTTCTTACAAGGAGCCAAGAAAAGTAACCTTTCTTTAGCCTTCCTAACATTGGAAGTGATCAGAAGTCAAAGAAAGAGCAGCGCCCTGGGGAAACAGGCCACAAATCCACTCATGTACAAGAAACTTGAGAACATGGTTCTCTTGAAACAAGGCTTGTCTGAAGCATCTGAGAAAGTTGTTCATCAGGAAGACTTGCTTACAAAAACTAGCAAGGTTTCTCCTGCCCACCTGGATCTCAGGGAAGAGGTTTTCCTTCAGAAAACACAGGGGCTTGTTAACTTGAATAAAGTCTACAGGCCTGGAAAAGTGCCATCTCTGAAATGGACAACAGAAAGCTCTGAAAAGATTCCCTCCAAGCTGCTGGGTCCGCTTGCTTGGGATAACCAATCAGCTACCTTGATACCAAGAGAAGACTGGAAATCCCTAGAGAGGTCACACAAACTCACATCTTTGAAGACAAAAGATATCACTTTGCCCCTGGACCCTAGTGAAAACTACCATTCAATAGCAGTAGCAAATGAAGGAGAAGATAAGGCCAAAAGAGAAGCTTCCTGGCCAAAGCAAGAAGGGACTGGAAGGGTGTGCTGTCAAAATCCACCAATCTTGAAACGCCATCAAAGGGAGATAACCCTTACTACTCTTCAGCCAGAGCCAGACAAAACTGACTATGATGATACTTTGTCGATTGAAACAAAGAGAGAAGATTTTGACATTTATGGTGAAGATGAACATCAGGACCCCCGCAGCTTTCAAAAGAGAATACGCCACTATTTTATTGCTGCAGTGGAGCGACTCTGGGATTATGGGATGAGTAGATCCCCCCACGCACTAAGAAACAGGTATGGGTCCATTGATTATTCCTTTGTGCTACTGTTGTGACCTTTGACTTGACCAGATGCTGAAACAATAGGGAAGGCACAATCTGCAGCAATGAGACTCCAAAAACTGTTTTATAGAGGAAGCTGAGAAGCAAGTGGCAAAGTCTAGATGAAGCTGAGGAGCAAATGGGAGGTTAGGTGGTGACACCAACAATGAGGGTTACAGGATGGTAAATCCAGGTAGCATGAAACTCTTACTCTGGTGAGATGGAGAAGAAGAGGGGTCTACAAAAGGGTAGAGAGGTCAGAGTCAAGAAGCAGCCATGTGGAACAGGAAGGAAGTCAGCCTCACCTAACAGCTTGTGAGCTGCCAGGTAAGGCTTAGTCTCCTGAGTGTGCCCTGATACACACAGCAGGAAGCAGTGAAGTGTGTGGTAATGAGATTCAGGTGACAGGGGAGGTCATATTCCAAAGTACTGGGGATCCAGAGGGCAAAATGGGAGAATTTCAGTGTTAAGGGAGCAGAAGGAGGTTGGACAGGGGAGAGAACACACAGAGAAATATGGAAGATAAACATAAGGAGAGTGAATCAGCCAACAAATATTTATTGAGCATCTGTTACATGCCAGGCACTTGCACAGACACTGAAGAATAGCAAAGCAGGAGCTTATATTCTGCTGGGAAAAGCAAAAGGCAGTAAAGTACTAGAAAACTAAATAAGGGAATCTTAGTGCTGTTCAAAAGGTAGAATTGACTGATATGGCAGAGAGTGCAGGGTGTGTTACTTTTGCTGTGGTGGTCAGAAACATCCTCTTTGTGGAGTTGATGCCTAAATGATGATAAGAGGTCAGCTAGGGACTTCCCTGGTAGTCCAGTGACTAAGACTCTGCAGTCCCAATGCAGGGTACCGTGGTTCAATCCCTGCTCAGGGAACTAGACCCCACATGCCACAAATAAGGATCCCACATGCTGCAACTAGGACCCAGTGCAGCCACATAAATTTTTAAAAAATAAACAAATAAACACGAGGTCTGCAAACCAAAGTTTGAGAGAAGACATTTTCAGCAGAGGGAATAGGAAATCCAAAGGCCCTGCAAATGAAACAAGTTTAGCATGCTTGAGGAACAAAAAAGGACCAGCGTGAGTGGAGTACACTAAAGAAGTGTGTGCAGGGGTAGGGCCGAGGTGAGTGACCACACCATCGTGGTTATCCAGGACATTACTGCCTTTTTTGTACAGTTCTTCTGTGTATTCTTGCCACTTCTTAATGTCATCTGCTTCTGTTAGGTCCATACCATTTCTGTCCTTTATTGTGCCCATATTTGCATGAAATTTTCTCTTGGTATTTCCAGTTTTCTTGATGAAATCTCTAGTCTTTCCCATTCTATTGAACAGGGTAGCGAGGGTAAAAGTGAAAAGAAATGTAAGGATGTTGAGTATAATTTGAAGATAAGCAGGGAAGGCTTGCTGTTAGATTGAGGATAGGGAGGAATGGTGAGAGAAAACTGAAAAATGTTTCGTTTTTGTCCTGAGCAACTAGGTGGATGCTGGTGACATTTAATGAGATGTGGAAGGCATGAATCAGAACAGATTTATTTGAGGAAACACTCAAGGGTCTGTTTTGTACATATTTAATTTGACATGCCTACTAGATATCCAAGTTCAGATGTTGAGTAGGCAGTTTGATATATGAGTCTTGAAACCAAAGAAGTGGTTTGTGCTGCTACTGCTGCTGCTGCGGTCACTTCAGTCGTGTCCGACTCTGTGCGACCCTATAGACGGCAGCCCACCAGGCTCCTCCATCCATGGGATTCTCAAGGCAAGAGTACTGGAGTGGGTTGCCATTGCCTTCTCCGTGGTTTATGCTAAAAGATACCAATTTGAGCATTATAATCATATTACTAACATTCAAATAAGATTTAATGGGATGATAATGGAGTAAAAGTAGCTGTAAACCATGCCCACTTCAAGGGCTACATCCTCAAAGTAATGGTAAACCAGTTAAACTTGTATTTCCTTGACTTATAACCCAGTTTTTGGTCATGTGTATTGTCCATGAAATCCCTATCCTTGATCATAATTTAAGCAAATCTTGAATTGGCAGTGCCTGCAGACATCTGGTAGAACACATAAAACCTCTCATGGAAGAAACAAAAATTCTAGGCTTCAGGTTATTTTCACGAATATTCGAGATACAATTTCCAGAACACAAAAATGCTGGGTACAAAACAAGAAAAGTAAGCAAGACGCCACAGAAACAATAGAGAGACAAATACAAACTCACAGACTGAAGGTCTCAGAATCACCAGATACAATTAAAACACTAATGCATCATGTAGAAAGAATTGGTGAAGTAGTAGGTAAAAGAAATAATATAAAATGCAGAATGCAGAGCTTTTAAAATGTAATATAGAAAAGAGATAATAAAGATTATGTGTTCTAAGTCACTTTAGTCATGTCCGACTCTTTGCAACCCCATGGACTGTAGCCAGCCAAGCTCCTCTGTCCTTGGCATTCTCCAGGCAAGAATACTGGAATGGGTTGCCATGACCTCTTCCAGGGGATCTTCCCGATCCAGGGATCAAACCCGCATCATCCAGCAGTGGCCACAGGACTGGAAAAGGTCAGTTTTCATTCCAATCCCAAAGAAAGGCAATGCCAAAGAATGCTCAAACTATCACACAGTTACAAACATCTCACTCACTAGCAAAGTAATGCTCAAAATTCTCCAAGACAGGCTTCAACATTATGTGAACCGTGAACTTCCAGATGTGCAAGCTGTATTTAGAAAAGGCAGAGGAACCAGAGATCAAATAGGCAACATCTGTTGGATCATTAAAAAAGCAAGAGAGTTCCAGAAAAATATCTACTTCTGCTACTGACTATGCTGAAGCCTTTGACTGTGTGGATCACCACAAACTGTGGAAAAATCTTAAAGAGGTGGGAAGACCAGACAAGGTGACCTGCCTCTTGAGAAATCTGTATGCAGGTCAGGAGGCAACATAGAACTGGACATGGACCAACAGACTGGCTCCAAATAGGGAAAGGAGTACGTCAAGGCTGTATATTGTCACCCTGCTTATTTAACTTATATTCAGAGTACATCTTGAGAAATGCTGGGCTGGAAGAAGCACAAGCTGGAATCAAGATTGCTGGGAGAAATACCAATATCTCAGACATGCAGATGACACCACCCTTATGGCAGAAAGTGAAGAAGAACTAAAGAGCCTCTTGATGAAAGTGGAAGAGGACAGTAAAAAGTTGGCTTAAAGCTCAACATTCAGAAAACTAAGATAATGGCATCTGGTCCCATCACTTCATGGAAAATAGATGGGGAGACAGTGGAAACAGTGTCAGACTTTATTTTGGGGGGCTCCAAAATCACTGCAGTTGGTGACTGCAGCCATGCAATTAAGACATGCTTGCTCTTTGGAAGAAAAGTTATGACCAACCTAGACAGCATATTAAAAAGCAGAGACATTACTTTGCCAACAAAGGTCCATCTAGTCAAAGCTATGGTTTTTCCAGTAGTCATGTATGGATGTGAGAGTTGGACTATAAA